AAAAAAAAAAAAAAAAAAAATCAGTCTGTGAAAGGCAAAGGCTCCGGGGGATGTATTCATGTTTCTGTTTACTAATCAGCTTTTATCAGAGAAGAATAGCTTTGTTATACCAATTAATATTCACCTCTTAAAGAAGTACTAAGTAGCTTTGGATTGTGGGTTTGCTAATTTCTGTCTTGGGGGTCTCAATATCTATCTTGCTTTATCCTTAATCATAATGCATCGGTGTGGTCAAGGGCCTGATGCTCCTGTCAGACTAGGAGCTCCCTAAGAGTTGGGAGAAGTGTCTCCTTCATCAGACTAGAAGCTCTCAGAGGGCCAGGGTCACATGTTCCCCTTTAGAATAAGGATTCCCAGAGAATGGGGGCTGTGTTTCCCCCATCAGACTGGGAGCTTCCTCAGGGCAGGACTAGGTCTCCTCCATCAGAAGGGAGCCCCAGAAAGTGAGGGGTGTAGGAGTCAGGGGATGGAAGAGGTAAAGAGGTGTGGCTGGAGGTCATACAGGTGGGGCTGGAGACCTGGTCCAGGGCTGTGTTTTCTGATATGGGGGAGTTGGGCGTGAGCCTTGGGTCAGTGTCTCTCTGTCCCTCTGGGCTCTAGAATTCGAAGAGTCTGGCAGAAAAGGAAGTGTGGAGTCAAGTACGGCTGCCTGACCATCTCACACAGCACGGTGAGGCCTGGAGGAGAGGGGGTCTCAGGGCTCAATAGGTCCTCTCTTCACTGGTCAGAACAAGCCCTCCCTCTAGCACTGGCCCCCAAACCTGGATCCAGGTGGCTGGAGGCCCCCTGTGGGAGGAAGGATGGGATTGAAAGCTCCCAACGTGGTCTTGGCCCACACTCCACAATCCATGAGGTGCTGGGAGAGAGGAGATGTGAACTGGAACAGGACTATTATAGCCATTTAACAGATTGGGAAATAGAGGCCTAAGGATTTGGGAGGCCCAGAGGGTAACATGTAAATCCTCTGTCCCCCAATTCCCACAGATAAACAGGCCCCCCGTGAAGCTGACCCTGCTGACGTGCCAAGTGAGGCCAAATGCTGAGGAGAAAAAGTGCTTTGACCTGGTGACCCGTGAGTAGTCCCTGTCTCCTCTCCAACAACTGCCTAGGGCTTCTCGAAGAGACCTGTCAGCTCCCAGGAGGCTTCAGTTAGGGGTCTCTGTCCAATCCCACGTGTGTCTGCTGCGACCATCAGACTCCTTAGGCTCTGGATGCTCTTTTTAGAGGGTACACCCCACATCCCATTAAACATTAAAATGTACCCACATCCCACATTAAATACGATTATTTCTGCAAAGTATATTTGAATGGATTGGGGTAATTGGGCTTTCAAAATTATCATTTCTTTAGAAGTTTCAGTCTCCATCCTTTGGAGGCTTTGATGCCAGGCTTTACATGGGGACCAGTGCAGGCTGAGAAAGACCCAGATCTCATCCTAGGGAGCTCTCTCTGGCAGGGATGTATCCAGAAGAGAGGTGCAGATACAGCACTGTCAAAGATTAGGGAGCGGAAGCCCTGCCCTGCTGTGAGGAATCAGGAAAGGCTGTTTGGGCCAGAGAGCATTTGAGTGCAGCCTTGAAGAACACACAACACAGAGTTTGGGGGCAGACATTTCAGGGGACGGGACTGGCATGATGAAAGACATGGGGGCAGGACAATGGATCTGACCAGTCTGGCCAGAGTGTAGGGTTCACAGAGGAGAGCGTTGGGAGATGAGACCCGGGAAATGCCTCTTAAAGGTTTCGGCCTGATTTCCTGGTAATAGGGAGCCACGGGGTGTCCTGGAGCAGGGGGTGTCATGATTAGATTGGAACCTTGGGCACAACAATCTGGCAGCCGGTACAGGTTGGGGGAAGGGGGAGTTGGGGAGCAAGGAGACCAGACAGGAGGAGGCTGAGGGCCCAAGTGGGGTGATGGCAGTAGGTTCGGAGGATACTCTGCCTCTGAGCTGGGTGGGGTCTTGTTCCCTGGACCCCGTAACTGGGGTTTCACACAGAGGCTTCTTGTTGTGACTTCTGAGAAACTGCCTGTGCTACTGGCCACTGTCATTACCCTCCCCACCCCAGCTCTGCAGAGCCTGGCTCTTCAGGGACAAAAGCGCCCCCGTCCCCCCACCCGGGCCCAGCTGTTTGGTTGAGGGCTCCCTGGGCCCAGGGAAGGTCCACAGGATTTCTGTGGACCAGACACACGTCGGTCTCCCCACAGACAACAGGACATACCACTTCCAGGCAGAGGATGAACATGAGTGTGAGGCGTGAGTGACTCCCCACGGCCAGCCTGGGGGTGGGGTCAGCGGAGCC